ATGGTTAAATCGTTGAGAATGGTGAATTTGAGGATTCAACCAATATGCAGCATAGTGAATTGGTCTACTCATTTGATCTTCCCACCTTTTGTCAATGACTTTCAAGACAGGCTTCTATCTGTATAAGGTATATACAATAGAGAATAGACAAATTATAAGTAAGAAGTTAGAACAATAAAAATATAGGTTTGAATGATAAGTTAATAGGAAAAGGAAACTTGAAATCACCTTCTTTCCACATTGTTGAAGTTGCTTTTAATCTTCTCCTTCGCTTGGATAATTTCAGAGTATAAGAAGGGCATTGCCGGTTTTTCATCAGAATCAGCCAAACGTAGAATCTTGACAAGAGGTTGAGCAGCTCTAAGACAATTTGTCACACTTTTCCAAAATCTACCATCAAGTACAAATCCTTGAACTCTTTTTCCTTCACGAAGCTTAGAAAAGATACTCTTCCTCCACTTCTCAGAAGAAAACATTGTCATCAAGAAACCCTTATTGTCATTAAGAGATCCCAATGTCAAATATGCTGTAGCAAATCTTGTAACAGCAGGTCTGACACGCCAAAACACAACACCAAACTGCGACCAAGTGTAATCACAGTCCGGGAATGCAGTAAAGTGGAAAGTTCTAAATATCAACCCGGGGTCTAGATCTAATGCCTACTCCGTGATTATCTATTATCTAGCAGACTAAGTCGATTGGTTTTTGTCTTAACTAAAAGCAGAAAGAAAGCAGGAATTGGTTCGGTTTTCTCAAGCAAAGAATAGTCACTCGGGAATGAATCCCCCTAGCTCCTTAGTTAGGTCTCAGTTTTAATTACCCTGGGTTGATTTACTGTTGATTAAACTGCGGAAGATCCGACAGTAGCTTGGAATCTCTTAAGCTGACCAAGCCCTCTCAGTCTAACTACACGGCAGACGACTAGTCTTCATCGGGATAGAAAGCAGAAGCAATAAGCGCAGAACTCCACTACTCGAATTGGATTCCAGTACAAAGCAGTAGACTGACTAACTCTCGTATAGCCAATCTACTACTACCGAATGATGAAGCTCTAACAACCTAATCAGATTCTATCTATCTCAGGTTGCAGCAGAAATCAAGAAAAGCTGATCAGACTTCAATCAATTCAATGAAACATGGATCATTCGATTAAAACCAAACAGTATAATCATCCCAAGTCATTACAATCACATCCCTAACACATGGAACTAGGGTTCTTCATACCCAAGTGAGAGAAGGGTTCTACTCCATTGAGAGAGAGAGGAAAACAGAAATCAGAGTAGTCATACTCATAAAGATGAGGAAAATCTGCTCTGGGATGTCAATCTTCACTCCTAGGGACGCAATATGGGCTTCAATGGTGAGAAATCCACTCCAAATAGCTCCTAGGGTTTGTTCTTCGCCCTTTCTCTCTCTAAAACTCTGTTTTTGCTCTGAAAAGTCGATCCTCTAACTTGTGGCTCGAAATTAGGTAAAAACCAGAATTCCCGACTCACACGGGCAGGCCACACGACCGTGTGACTTACCCAGATGCCCGTGTGAGAGACAAAACACGGCGTTCCGATTAAGTGAAATTCAGGCTTCCTACACGGCCAGGGACACACGACCGTGTGGAACCTTCAGTCTGCCCGTGTGAAGCCTCGCACAATCCCACACGGCCACATTGCTTCTTTACACGGCCGTGTGGATTTTATGTGTGCCCGTGTGGCTTCCTCAGCGACTCGCCACACGTCCGATCTTCGTCCAATCGACCCCGAACTCGCTCCCAAACCTTCATTCACGTACTAGGACCTGAAATATCACAAACAAGCACAACCTAGCGTGAAATCGGCCTAAAAAACTAGAATCAACATCTCAAACGGCTCAAGAATAGGGGTAAAAACATGTGCAATTAACGGTTTATCAAACTCCCCCACACTTAACCGTTTGCTTGTCCCCAAGCAAACCAAGTCAGACACAAGGTAAGCTCACATATTTCAATCATATACCAACATTGGGGACAAATCATATAGGCACAGAAACACGTGAATCATACTGGCTTTCACACATCAACACATGAACACCTTCAATAGCAACCTGGACAACCACCACTGAAGACATTCGAGTGCAGCAAAATCGAATAAAGGAGGAGTCTCCCTTCTGTTCATCAACCAACATAGACTTGACTCAACCACTTACTCAAGACAGTCAACTCATGCATAAAACTCAAGACATCAGAATCAAGACCGAGCCATCTAGGTCCTCACCGGGGTAAAGAGTGTAAAGAACAAGGAAATGAATCACTCACTCTCGACCAGTGGGTTCAGGAAAATTTGATGCGAAAAATGCGCATACTTATTATCTCAATCCCTAACATCTCTTCACCATGACGGCAGTCTCTAAGTGTTAGAGTTCACATAAATGAGTGTCATCACTAACCAATCCGGAGGTCTTAGACAAAGGTTCAAATGACTGGCTAGGGTCTTGGATATGGGGAAAAGGCATTTTAGGTGGTGGAAGTATTCATAGCACAAGGTTCCACAATTTCAAACCCAACAAACTCACAGTCAATCAAACCAAAAACTTTCTTTCTGCTATTCTGCATTACTCAAATTCTTCAGAGCACAAGAGCGAAGGAGGTCACATAAATGTTAGTATTTCTAAGCCAGACTGCTAAGAAACACTACTTAATGGGCACTATTTAGATTTTTGGTGGTGGCTCTCTTTTGCTTTCATTTTTTTCTTTGTTTTTCTTTCATTTTTTTTTTTCATTTCTTAAGAGAACCACCACCTCTGCACATTTTTCAAACACCTGCCCAACTTTTTAAGAACTACCTCCAACCCTCACATTATATTTAGCAGAAACAGCAGAGAACATGTAAAACCCACTCTGTGGAACCTTCTAAGAGATGCAAAAGGGTGATTTTTTTCATTGCAGACCGAAAGAAAGGAGAAAACACAGCTCAAAGGGGCTTACTAGGGGGTATGACACACCAGGACAGTCAATTTGGTCGTGGGCTAATCCTATGCCTCCATCATCTTAGCTAATGACAACGTGAATGCTACACATCATGGAAGAGGGAACTATCGCACAAGAAAGAAACGAGCAGACTCAAATCTCACATGGCTACCTTTATGCTCTATCTCTCATTCTGATTCCCTGAACTAGATGCATAAACGACTGTCAAGAACAGTTGAAAGAATGAACCCCTACACAATCCTACTGCACGTCTCAGTCATCATAATAGGGTCCAAGCACACGTATATAGATTCCAACCGATACAAAGCACCCCCCCACACTTAAGCACGACATTGCCCTCAATGGAGCATAGGGAGAGAGAAGGGGAACGATGTTACCGGATTGAAATGTTGCGGGAGACTGGTAGTGGACCAGTCAGCGGGGAACATATGAAACGAACGGGCAGTTATGCACTAAGGGAACATCAAGAACACACTAGCACACCGTGCGTTAGTGATCAGAGTTGGCCCAGATGGCCATAAAATAAAAAATCCACAAAAGAAAGAAAAAAAGAAAAAACAAAAACAACCGACAGACTCAGTTCAAGCTCCTCAAACCGGGAGAACAGCTGCTTCAGAAATGAGCAGACCCGTCTTGCATCATTGGTGGGCATGGCTTGAGCTTCTGCCCACCTTGAGACGTAGTCCACTGCAACCAATATGTACAGATTGCCAAAAGATGGAGGGAATGGGCCCATGAAATCGATACCCAAACATCAAAAATTTTACAAATGACATAAATATGTTGGGGCATCTCATCCCGGGCAGAAATGTTACCTGACCTTAGGCAGCGGTCGCTTTGTCGTGCGAAGGTGTCTGCATCCTTGAAGAGCGAGGGCCAGTAAAAGCCCGACTGTAGCACCTTCCGCGCCGTGCGGTTTCCTCCATGGTGACCTCCAGTAGGTCCCTCGTGGCATTGAGACAGGATGTCTCCCATCTCGTGCTCCATGACACAGCGCCGGATCACGCCGTCTGCTCCGATCCTGAAGAGGTAAGGATCCTCCCAGAAGTAATGCTTCAGGTCGGAGAAGAACTTGCGCTTTGCATGAGTGGCCATCCCCTTAGGTAGCTGCTTGCCCACCAGATAATTGGCAAAGTCAGAATACCAAGGGACCACGCTTTCCACCAGTGTCATCGCCAGCAATCTCTCACCCAGGAAGGAGTCATTAATCTCTTCCACGAAGTTGTCCACCGGAGGGGCTTCCAATCGTGAAAGATGATCTGCAGCAACATTCTCGGCTCCCTTCTTGTCCCGGATTTCGATATCAAATTCCTGTAGGAGCAGGATCCAGCGGATGAGCCTAGGCTTTGCATCAGCCTTGCTCATCAGGTAGCTAATCGCAGAGTGGTCAGTGTAGATCACCACATGGGAGAGCACCACGGCGAGGAGCTCCTTCTCAGTGGTGATGTAGTTCTCCTGTGCATCGTTGAAGGTCTTGGACGCATACTAGATGGGCTGGAAGTGTTTTCCGCGTCTCTGACCCAGAACTGCTCCGACTGCATAGTCACTCGCATCGCACATCAGCTCAAAAGGAAGAGACAAGTCAGGAGTCACCATGATAGGTGCATGGGTAAGCTTCTCCTTAAGAGTCTCGAATGCAGCTGTGCACTCAGGAGTGAACTGGAATGGTGCATCCTTCTCCAGCCGCTTGGTCAGAGGCAGGGCAATCTTCGAGAAATCTTTAATGAAGCGCCGGTAGAAGCCTGCATAGCCCAGAAAGCTGCGAATCCCCTTCACAAAAACGGAGGAGGTAGCTTACTGATCGTCTCAATCTTCGCGCGATCCACCTCAATCCCTTGCTTGGAGATCTTGTGCCCGAGCACAATCCCCTCACGGACCATAAAATGGCACTTCTCCCAGCTGAGTGCCAGATTAGTCTCTTCACACCTCTTCAGAACGAGCTCCAGGTTATGGAGACAATGAGTGAAGGAGTCTCCATAAACCGAGAAGTCATCCATGAAGACTTCCATGATCTCTCCGACCAGTCGGTCGAAGATCGCCATCATGCATCTCTGGACGTCGCCGGTGCATTACACAGCCCGAATGGAATCCTCCGGTAAGCAAAAGTGCCGAAGGGGCAAGTGAATGTGGTCTTCGCCTCATCCTCTGGTGCAATAGGAATCTGGAAATAACCAGACATGCCATCCAGGAAGCAATAAAACTCATGACCAGCCAACCTCTCCAGCATCTGATCAATGAAAGGTAGGGGAAAATGATCTTTCCTGGTGGCGTCGTTCAGGCGCCTGTAATCGATGCAGACTCTCCAGCCGGTCACGGTCCGCATCGGGATCAGCTCTTTCTTCTCATTCGGGACCACAGTCATCCCGCCTTTCTTCGAGACCACCTGAGTGGGGCTGACCCACTTGCTATCAGATATAGCAAAGATGATCCCTACATCCATGAGCTTCACAATCTCTGCCCGGACCACTGCCTCCAAGTTATGAGACAATCTCCGCTGCGGCTGCCTGACTGGCTTAACCTCATCCTCCATCAGAATTCTGTGGGAGCAGAAGGATGGGCTAATGCCTCTGATGTCTGTGATCTTCCATGCCATGGCCCGGACATACTTCTACAGCAGAGCCACCAGCCTGCTCTTCTACTCGGGTGTCAGATCCGAGCTAATAATGACCGGGAGCTTATTCCCCTCCCGGAGAAATGCATACTCCAGGTGAGAGGGGAGGGGCTTAAGCTCTAGCTCTGGTGGCTCCTCCAATGATGTAGTGATCCGGGGCGAGATAGGGATCGTCTTGAATGGTAACTCTTGCCCCTCGATCGCGGCCTCGTCTAGCTCCGCGAGCTGCTCCTCCAGCTGCACGTCCTGTGATGCCTATTCCCCTAGCAAAAGACAACGCTCAAAGAAATCGTCAGTACCCGCACTCGTGATGGCGAGTGCGGTCTCAAAATCAGCAACAACATCACAGTAATCTAGATCATCATGGAGCTGGGGGGTGTTTCATATTATCAGAAACAGAGAAGGTGATTTGTTCACCCCCACCTTGCAAAATCAGTTTTCCATCATTCACATCAATGAGCGCCTTGGCGGTGGCGAGAAAAGGTCTACCCAATATCAATGGCACATCCACATCCTCATTTATGTCCAAAATCACAAAATCAATAGGATAAGAGAATGGCCCTACTGCGACTATCAAGTCCTCTGCAATGCCCCTAGGATGCACAATGGATCTATCAGCAAGTTGAATGCTCATCCTAGTACCACTGGGTTCACCTAGTTCTAGCTTTTTAAACAGTTTATATGACATGACGTTTATGCTAGCGCCTAAATCCGCCAAGGACTTCCCTATATGCAAACTACCAATCATGCAAGGGATAGTGAAACTCCCTGGGTCTTTTCGCTTCTCTGGTAGTTTGTTCTGCAGGATGGCAGAACACTCCTCGTTGAGCATCACCGTTGACAACTCACCAAGCTTCCTCTTGTTGGTGAGGAGATCTTTCATGAACTTGGCATACTTGGGCATCTTCGATAATGCCTCCACGAAGGGCATGCTTATATTCACCTGCTTCAGCATTGCCATGAACTTGGCAAACTCAGTCTCCAGTCGGTCCTTGTGAAACCGAGTAGGAAAGGGGAGTTGGGGTACATACTCCTTCACCACTGGTTGCGGTTTAGAAGCAGGCACCTCAACCTCCTTCTCCATTTCCTCTTCATTAGCTGGAAGTGCTGAAGCACGGGTCTCTCTCTCTTCTGCCCGAACAGGTGGATCAGCAGTCACCTTTCGACTCCTGGTTGTGATGGCATTCCAGTTGGCATTCGGGTCCTGCTGATGAGGGATGGTCTGACCGGGCAGAGTACCATGAGTCCTCTGAGCTACAGCCTGAGCAACACTCCCAAGCTGGGTCTGGATATCCCAAAGCACAGCCTGCGTGTTTCTCTGACAAGCTTCTAGCTCCATGAATTTGCCTGAAGCTTTCTCCATGAACTGCAGATGTTATTAAACTTGGTTGCACTGGAGGTGGCCAGAGAACCCACCAGATCTCGCAGTTCCGCCATCGGGTCACTTTGTGTTGGGGCTGCAGGTGCTGCCCCTGTCTGGTGAAATGGCCGCACCTGTGACTGAGGTGGAACTGGCCCCTGTCTGGGCGGGTAGAGTGGCTGCTGTGGCTGCTGAAATTGCCCATGTCTGGGCTGGTACGGAGGCCTCTGGAAGCCAGGTGGTCCTTGGGGGACTGGTGGTCTGGAATTTGCCCCACCCCAGGAGAAGTTGGGATGCTGGCGCCACCCCTCGTTGTAAGTGTTGCTGTAGGGGTCGAAGCGCCTGACATTGCCGATGAAGTCCAGCTGCTCCTGTGGAGTAGAAGACTCCCTCATCGCTTGGCAATCCTCCACGGTGTGATGAGAACTCTCACACCACTAGCAGAGCATCGCCTGCTGCTGTCCGGTACCTGCAATCATCCTGGAACGATCGATAGCTGAAACCAGCTTCGATACCACCTGCACAAATTCAGATGACTGGGTGGCTACAGAATGCACACCCCGCCCTGGTGCTCGTCTCGATCTCCTTGCAGTTCCCCAATCATAACCCTGCTCTGCCATCTCCTCAAAAAGTTGATTCAGCTGGGGCGGTGTTTTGGTGAGCATATTCCCGCCACAGACCGAATCAATCAGCTGCTTGTCCTCCGGGAAGAGGGCATGGTATAAGGTTCCCACCTTGAAGGCATCAGTAAAATCATGGTTGGGACAATTGAGGAAGAGACTGGTGTATCTCTCCTAAGCGTCCCGGATGGTCTCGTCTTCATCCTGAGCAAAATGGGTAATTTGCTTCTGCAGGTCAGCCGTCTTGGACGGAGGATGGTAGCGGGTGAGGAACTTGTCCGCCAGGTTGGCGAACGTGGTGATAGAGCCTGGAGGTCGAGTGTCTAGCCACTCCTTGGCCTGCCCCTCCAGAGTAAATGGGAAGTACCTCAGCTAGATGGCATCTGCTGGGACCCCATTGATCTTGATTCCATCGATGAGCTCGTGGAATCGCCTCAGATGTGATCGGGGGCACTCCCCCGCTTTGCCACGGAACACCACCAAACCGCGCAGCATGGTGATGACGGAGGTGCTCACCTCAAAATTGTTGGCTAGGACATGAGGGTGTTGAATGGGTGACCTCATGTCCGCGGCCCTGGCGGTCCAGTAATATCCCATGGTCTGCTCCTCGGGAAGGACCACATCATGGTCCTGTGGATCACCCATCTCTTCTTCTTCGGCGATTTTCAGCTGTGCTAGCTCCTCCTCCGCAGCCAGTCGCGCCTTTAGAGCCCGCTTGAAGTTCCTGCAGGTTCGTTCAAGCTCCTGGTCTAATGGTAGTAGATCTCCCGACTGGCTACGGGTCATGCACTACTTGCACACAATCAGCAGAAGCAACCCGTGAAGGCACACAGGTGGAAGAGATAAAATGCAATAACGAAAAAGCTAGAGTAACAAATTTTCACGTTTCTCCAAAAACCTAGAGGTTCCCCGGCAACGGCGCCAAAAACTTGACATGCTACGACACAACACCTAACAATGGCTAAGTGTAACCAATGAAAGGGACTGCAGTATAGTGGCACAAGTAATAAATATCGAATCTACGGGTCTCTAGAGTTACTATTACTCAGCTTCAGTTCATTATCTAGCAAACTAGATTAAGGATTGATTTATAAACTACTCTACTAACTACTCTACTAATTACAAGTTGGGAACTCACTTAGGTATGATTCCCCTAGCTCCTCAATTAGGTCCAAATTGCAATTACCTTTGGTTGATCTACTGTTGATTAAACTGCGGAAGATCCTAAATTAGCTTGAAATTTCTTAAGCTGACCAAGCCCTCTTAGACAGAATACCCGGCAGGCGACTAGCCTTCACCGGGATAGTCTGCTAAGGCGATTCACACAGATCTCCACTACTGGAATGAATTCCAGTACAAAGCAATGAATTGATTGACTCTCGCACAACCAATTCACCACTATCAATCAAGGAAGCTCTCTTAACCTAATCAGATTATATCTATCATAGGTTAAAGCAGAAATCAAGAGAATTTGATCAAGATTCAATTGACTCAATAAATCATGCCCCAATTGATTATAATCAAACAATATAGCATCCAAAACTTCATACAAGAAAGATCCTAACACATGGAACTAGGGTTCCTCCAAACCTAAGCGAAGGGAAGTTACTCCATAGAGAAGAGAGAGACTGCAGAAATCTGATCTAGATCTTCAATCTCCATCCCCAAGCTTGATTCCGGAGCTCCAATGGTGAAGAAATCCTCCAAAATAGCTCCAAGAATGTTCCCAAGTCGCTCTCTCTCTAGGGTTCATCCCTTGGGTGTTTGGGAACCAAAACCCAGCTCTCTCTCTCCTTTGGCTCGAAATTGGCAAAAAACCAGAATTCCCAACTCACACGGGCAGGCCACACGGCCGTGTGACTTACCCAGATGCCCATGTGAGAGACAAAACGTGGCGTTCTGATTAAGTGAAACTCAGGCTTCCTACACGGCCAGGGACACACGGCCGTGTGGAACCTCCAATCTGCCCGTGTGAAGCCTCGCACAATCCCACACGGCCACATTGCTTCTTTACACGGCCGTGTGGGTTTTATGTGTGCCCGTGTGGCTTCATCAGCGACTCGCCACACGTCCGATCTTCATCCAATCGACCCCGAACTTGCTCCCAAACCTTTATTCACGTACTAGGACCTGAAATATCACAAACAAGCACAACCTAGCGTGAGATCGGCCTAAAACACGAGAATCAACATCTCAAACGGCTCAAGAATAGGGGTAAAAACATGTGCAATTAACGGTTTATCAAGGTCTAACCAAATCTTTCCCTTGAGTGAACTCCCTCATCATGGCAATCATCATTATTCTTGCATAAATGAAATTGGTGATCTTCTTACCATTGGAAATTGTGGTCTCGTGCACCTTAATATGCTTTGCAAGATCCTCTAGAATCAAATCCAAACAATGAGCAGCACAAGGTGTCCAAAACAAACGCTTCCTTTTTTCCATCAACAATTGTCCTCCTTCCTTATAAGCTGAAGCATTATCTGTCACAACTTGAACAACATTCTCTTCCCCTATCTTCTCAACAACTCCATCTAACATCTCAAACACCTTTTGAGCAGTCTTTGAAAAATCAGAAGTGTCAACAGCTTCAAGAAATACAGTTCCACGAGGACTATTAACCAAAAAGTTACATAGAACTCGCTGTTTCTTATCTATCCATCCATCAGACATTATTGTGCAACCCACCGCCTTCCATTCAGCTTTGAAGATCCCCAATTTATTCTCCACTTCATGCATTTCCTCTTTCAGCAAAGTCTCCCTAATCTCATGATATGAAGGACCCTTAAAGCCAGGACCATGCCGAGCTATATCTTCCAACATTTGGTGATAGCTATCGCATCTAGTTGCATTGAATTGAATAGCATTTTCATACCACCATTTTGATATCGACTTGCAAGCCTTTTCCCGGAGTTCTTTCTTCAAAACTGTAGTTATTGTTTTCTGTTTTCCAGTGCCACTGCCACTAGCTTCATTAGCAGTTCCACTACCCTCTCCATCACGACTAAAACCGAGATCATGTAGCTTCCTTGCCTTAGTCGCCTTCTCTTCTTCAGTTGCACCAAGTAGCTCTAACATTTTTGCTCTAACTTCATCAGGAACACTAACACAAGCAATAGAGTCCTTTCTTGTTCCTGCAAGATGATGTTTGAAGCGAGATATACCACATACTTACTTATCACAATACTTGCATCTCACTTTTGTCCATTACCGAGTACATCTATACCATGCTGCCAACCGGGATCTAGACGATTGCCCTGTGCATTTTTTTCTCTTCGTTCTAGAATTGGATACAGTATTGCTTGCACTAGTACCCCCACTCGACATAATCGAAATTGCAAATCCTACATAAAACAAAGAATAAGTGTTGTAAATCACAAAATCTCAACTACTGAATTACAATCACAAAAATTACAAACACAAAATCTCAACTTCTAAATCAAATCCTACATGAAAAATTACAAACACAAAGACAGAATTATACCTGGAGGCTGGCTACGGGCGACGACGACCAGCTACAGCCGACGGCGAAGAGTGTCGGCCGACTAGCTACGGGCGACTGAGTTAGGGCGGCGGAGGGCGACGCGGTGCTGGAGTTAGCGGCAGGCCGACAGCTTGGCGACGGGAGGCGGCCGGGCGATTGGCGACGGGTGGCGGTTGGGCGATTGGCGGCGGCCGAGGGAGACAGGCGACTGCCGAGGGCGACGAGCCGATGACGAGAAGGGTGGAGTGGATGCGGTCGTGCAACGCTGGAGTGGAGATAGATGGAGATGAGATGAATTAGGGTTCAACGCAACCCTTCTCCCTTTTGGCAGCCCGATTTTTTTTTTTTTTCAAAATAAAAAACAACGTCGTTCTGGTGAGAGGAGACAATTTTGCTCCTTTGCTTGGAATTGTACAAAAACGGTCTAAAAATATGTTTTTATTCGTTTTTACCGATTTCACCGATTTTACTACGATTTTGACCGATTTTGAGTAAAAAAACGATTTAATTGGTGATTTGAAACGTTTTCCTTCCCTAGAAACATAAAATCGTACGATTTTACGCTTTAAAGCGCGATTTTGACTATACTGGATACGTTGTATCAAGGGTGCAGGCACAAGGCCATCATCGACCTGTTCAAGATTCTTCCTCGAGTTATTTATGGATTCCTCTCATTTGCATTAACAGATCGAATTCATCATACAATCTCGGACCCATGGTTGTCAGTCCTTTTTCATAGCTATTTATTTAGTGAGTAAATTATGAGTATCTTTAGTTCTCAGACTTCATTGCTGGGAAGCGATGTTGTAATCAATCTTGCAAGACAAAGGACTGTATGTGAGTAATGAATGATCTCGACATATGCTTTGACAGTAATATGGTTCCTACTATCACTATGA